ATTCTTGATGAAAAGACCAGAGCTGAATAGAAAATCTGACCTCCAAATACAAGACACAAGAGAAGCATGAAAAGGTAAACAGGAAAGAGAAATCATAAGGGACTTACTAAAGTTGAACTGTTTACATTCCTACATGGAAATAAGATATTTGTAACTCATAAGACCTTTCCCAGAATTAGGGTAGTTAGAGGGAATATATACACAGAGGGCACAGGGTGAGTTGAAGATGAAGGGATAATATCTAAAAAATAAAATTAAAAGGTGAGAGAGGATTATACTGGAAGAAGGAGAAAGGAGAGAGATAGAATGGGGTCAATTATCTCACATAAAAGAGGCAAGAAAAACCTTTTACAGTGGAGGGGAAGAGGGAGGAGGTGAAAGGGAATTAGTGAATTTTACTCTTATCAGATTTGGTTTAAGGAGGGAAAAACATACACACTCAATTGGGTATGGAAATCTATCTTACCCTACAGGAAAACGGGGGAAAGGAGACAAGAGGGAGAGATGATAGAAGGGAGTGCAGATTAGGGGAGGGAGTAATCAAAAGCAACATTTTTGAGGAGGGACAGAGTCAAAGGAGAGAACAGAAAAAACAGGGGGGTGGGATATGATGGAGGGAAATGTAGTTAGTCTTTCACAACATGACTATTATAGAAGTGCTTTACATGACTACACATGTATAACCTATATCGAATTGTTTACCTTCTCAATGAGGGTGGATGGGGAGGGAGGAGGGGAGAGAATTTAGAATTCAAAGTTTTAAAAACAAATGTTAAAAATTGTTTTTATATGCAACTAGGAAATAAGATATCTAGGCAAAGAGGTATAGAAATCTATCCTGCCCTACAGGAAAATAGAAGGGGAAGGGGATAAGAGAAGGGAAGGGAGGTAATAGAAGGAAGAGCAGATTAAGGGAAGGGGTATTCAGAATGCATGCCATCTTGGGGTGGGGAAAGAGGAGAGATGGGAAGAAAATGTGGAACTCAAAATCTTGCGGAAGTGAATGCTGAAAACTAAAAATTAATTAATTAAAATAAAACCAGAAAATCTGGAAGAGTTCATTTAATGCCCAATAACAGTCCCTAACTCAAGCCTGCATGGTCCATAGTTTAGGCTTTGATGGCTTAACATGAGTGTAAATAGCAACTGTATTCTGTTCAGGACAGAAATATTGAGGGTCTTCCCCTCCCAGATTGATATTTTTGTGAAGGCAAATTGGGCTACTTTTTGTCCCAATTTTGTCTCAATTCTTACCTAGCCCTTAGTCAAGCAATGAGTGTTGCTTCAAACAAACTGAAACTGGGAAACACCTTAATTTAGAAAGGCCAAGGTCACCCACTGCATCCTGGGTCCTTCAGTCATCTTAGTTTGGTCTTGCCGCCGGGCTTCTGGATGTCTCTAGAGGACAGAGTAAGGCTGACAACTTTACTCAGTTCTGCCTCACTTAAATCCAATTCACCTTAAAGTCAAGTCATCACCCTCAGGATGCCTTTTTGAAGACAAAGGACTAACAACAATTTCAGGACAGCAGCAAACCCTATCATCAGTCAGAGTGCTCTGCCTCCCAGACCTCACTTGGAACTTTCCCTGTGTGATCAAAAGCACCATCTAGTGTCCTTCTAAATATGCTCTTTCAACCATATCAATTAGCAAGCATTGAAGTGCCTACTATGTGTCTAGGAGTGTGTTAACTGCTACAGACACAAAAGTGAAACAGTATCAATTCTTGAAAAGCTTTGCCATATAGCTAGGAGAGACATGAGCACAGAGACAGATTTAGATATATATATAATATATGTATTTGTATATATGTATCATACTAATTAGATGTGAAATAGATACAAGATAAGGGGGAAGGGAAGGGAGAGACCAGCTGCTTCAGAAATCAGGAAAAACTTCATGTAGAAGATAACACTTGAGCTAAAGAAAACTGTGGACTCTAAGAAGTGGAAATAAGGATGGAATGTATTCCAAACATGGAGGACATTCAGTGCAAAAGCAAGGAGCTGGGATAGAGTATCAGGTATGAGGACATGTAAGAAGGACAGTTTGGATTAAAGGATTATAGATTTGGAACAAGAAAGAACCTCAGAGGGCATCTAGACAAATCTGCTATTTTACAGATGAAGAAATTAAGGCTGAAGGAGATTTAAGTATTACACAAGCAGTTAGTGATAGAAGTGGGAATTTGAACTCAGATTTTCTGACCCAAGAGCTGGTACTTTTTTTTTTTTTTTTTTTTAACTGTTACTGTACTGCCTTCTCTGGCTGTAATGCCAAGTGAATGAAAGGAAGTAAGGGATAATAAGGCTGGAAAGGTAGCTTGAGGCCAGGTTATGAAGAGCTTTAAATGCCCAAGATACTACATTCAACCCTAGAGGTAACAGGAAGTTTAGGAAGTACCAGGAGTGATAGTCAGTGAATAAGCATTTATTAAGTACCTACTATGTGCCAGGCACTGTGGTAAGTGCTATTCAAACCACGTCTGAAGACAATCACAAAATCCCACTGTCTCTATTCTCCCAGGCCATCTCATTAAACCCCTCACTGCTGACATCTTCCCACCACCAAACCCAGGCCCCCAGAAGTGGTAGTATGATTCAGTGAAAAGAAAGCCTGATTTGGAGAGGAGTGGAGTTTGAATCCCAGCTCTGTCACTGTCACATGACCAAAGGCAAGTCACATCACCCCTCTGAGCCTCCGTTTCCTAAGAATTTGGACTAGATGACCTCTAAGGTCCTTTATACCTCTAAGTCTCTGACCCTCTGCTCCCACTCAGTTGGGCCCCCCCCCACCCAAGGTCAGTCTTTCAAGTCTGTTCCCATTATTAACTTAAAACAGGGATGGGGAACCTTTGGTCTCCAGGCCACATGTGGCCCTCTAGGTCCTCAAGTGCAGCCCTTTGACTAAATCAAATCTTCACAGAACAAATCCCCTTCATAAAATGATGTGTTCTGTAAAACCTGAACTCAGTCAAAAGGCCGCACCCAAGGACCTAGAAGGCCATAGGTGGCCTCCAGGCCGAAGGGTCCCCACCCCTGACCTAGAACAATCACTCAGGTTTCATTTAACTATTAGTTCACAATTTCCAAGATTACATGACGTTCACAACTCTGGAGGTTGGTGGTACAAGTGGTGCTACCATTTCCACTTCACAGATGTAGTCAGTGAGGCTCAGAGAGATTAAGTGACTTTCCTATTTAAGAAGGTCCGACCGAAACCCAGTGCCTGGCTCCAAACAGTCAAACGTAGTTCACTCCTAGTGCCTCTGTTATTCTGCTTTGAAAATACTCAACTCTGGGTAACCCTTGATGTGTTTCCTCTGATTCCAAGCATTCTGAGGGGAAGTCAGATTATTGCAATAATTATGCCAACTGAGAAATAAAGCAATCAAACATCAACTCTGAGCTTACTAATGTTCAGTAATCCTTTAATTCTTTTGTAGACTCCTAGTTCCAACCTTTTTCTATCCTTATTCCCCACCTCCACCCTACCGCTGGGGCAGCTAGATGACACAGAGGCTAGAGTCCTGGGCCTGGAGTCAGGAAACCTCATCTTCCTGAGTTCAAATTGGGCCTAGCTGTGTGACCCTCAAGTTCATTTGTAAAATGAGGCAAACCACTCCAGTATCTTTGCCAAGAAAACCCCAAATGGGGACAAAGAGACTCAGAAAGGACTGAAAATGACTGAACAACAAAAACCTCTTTACTTTCAGCAGATAACCTTCACATCCTAACTTCCCTCCTCCCTTAGAGGGAGAGATAGTGGTAGAGGCCAAAGTACTACTTTTAGCTCTTAATTCTACTCCTTTCTACCTCCTATAATACCCTGTCCCATTAGCCATCTCCTTATCCTACCCAAGTCTTACTCTCTCTCTACTTGCTTTCCTTTTTCCTTAAGTCATGATTAGTTCTCCCCAACATCTTCTCCTCAACATCTTCCTCAAGACAAGTGATTCTCTATTCTTTGTTCTCTTAAAGCACTTTGGTTTCCACCTCTCCTTTATTTAGCACCCAGTCTTTGCATATCTTTGTCCTCATGTCTCATGGTATATAGGAAACAAACACTGATCTGTACTGAGAAGACTTGGTTTCCAAACCCCTTTCTGCCACTTACCATGGGACCTTAAGCAAATCACTTCTCTGCACCTCAATTTTTTAAATGAGGGTATTGGACCAGATGAACTCTAAAGTCTCTTCCAACATAAATCTATGATCGTATAATCCCTTATTAGATTATAAACTACTGATGGGCAGGCACCATGCCTTAAACTCTACACAATCTGGCCCAAACCTATCTTTCCAGCCTCCTTGGTCATGACTCTCCATCCCGAACTGTGGTCCAGCCAAATTGGCCTCCTCTCTGTGCCCTGGCACTGGCAAAAGTTGTTGGTTTATCTCCCCCAAAAGACTGTAAACCCCCTGAGGGCAGGGGTTGTTTTTTGCCTCTCAGTATCCCCTGAATTTAGCACAGTATCCAGGACAAAGGGAGTGCTTAATAAAGTAAGTGGACTGATTGGCAGTCCCAAATGCCTAAAATACCCTCCTTCCTCACCTCGGCCTCACTGTCACTCTTCATTTAAGACACAGCTCAAACACCATCTTCTGCCATGGGGGCTTTTCTGGCCCCTTCTAAATACTAATGTCCTCCCAAACCACCTTGCATTTAACAACTTTTTTGTCTTTATTCACTTTATACTGAAGTTGTAGATGTGTCTTTATGCACTTGTGGTTTCCACTAGAAGGAAAGTTCCTTGACAGCAGGGATTTTTCCATTCTTTATATACTTGTATATTTTGTATCCCCTGAGGCCAGCACCGCGTTCTGTACCTGATAGGCACTTAATAAATCTTTGATTGGTTTGTATCCCGATTACTTAGCAGAGCACGGTAGACACACAAAAGACTTTAATAATGTTCAGTGAATACTGGAGGGAAGCTGGTTTAAAGGGCGCAGTGGGGCGTGGATGAAAGTGAAGGGGCCAAGGGAGGAGTAACATACCTTTAATGAGCTGCTCGCTTTTCTGGTTTAGACAAGACACTCCCTGCTTGCACAACAGCGAGCTTGGACGCCGGGACACAGCGCCTCTCTCCGTCTCTGACCCAGGATGTGAACTGGGTCTCAGAGTCGGGATACACAGCGCGCTGTATTAGAGGGGACAGGAGACTGCAAGAGGAGCGCAGAGCATCCCACGTACACAGGCTCAGACCAAATCTACTCTTCCTCTCCCACTGGTCCAGACTAGGCACCCCCCACCGCGAACCGGCCCACCCAGGACCCTCGGGTCCCAAGCCTAGCAGGACCAGATTGGAAGGGCCACGTGGCTCTCTTCTGGGGCGGAGACAATTTCCTCTTCCCCGCCCTCCGCGCGTAGAGCCTGATGGGAATTGTAGTCCGGAAGCCTTTTCCGTGAGCGTCAGAAACTACATTTCCCGGGGGAGTTAGCGGCACTCGGAGGCCGAAGGTGGGGAGGCAGCAGCTTTTTGTTCTCCCCTGGGTGCCCTGGGCGGGAGGGGGAGGGGAGGGAGCGCCGCTTGAGCTGGGTCTTGGAGCATCCTCTCCCACTACTTCTGGCCACGGCCGCCGGGCCTCGGGGCCGCCAGGAAGTGGGTCTATTTTCTTTCCCTAATTCAGCCCGCCTAGACGGCCTGCTGCAGTGTAGGCCACCCGTCCGGCTCCGGGTCACCTGCCCCGGGGCTCTGGACCCCCGTGCCAAGCACGGATTAACCTAATCGCTCCCCTTCGGCCCTGCCCCTCCTCCACCCGACACGCTCCTATCTGCCCGGGGCTCCATCCTGCGCCGCCCCCTCCTCGACCCCCCCACCCTCCCGGGAGAGCTCTGAGCCTAGGATTAGAGGCCGCTTCTCCTCGGGCGTGGGGGCGGGGAGAGCGGAATGCGCCGGGCCGGCTCGGGCCCCGGCCTCGGCCCCGCGCGGCAGTGATGTCCACTCTCTTCTCTGAATCCCCCGCCAGCCCGGCCTTCGTGCCCGCCGCCCGGCCCTGGGGGGACCTCGCGTGCGCGAGCCCGGAGCGGACCACCTCCCCAGATGTGCCCGGACTCGGCTGCCGGGCGCCCTCGGGCCCGCGGGAAGCCCAACATCTGCAGCCAGCTGAGCAGGAGGGCCCAGGGCTTTTTCACCAATGATGCTGGGATGGTTCAGAGGACAAATCTGGGGATCCTGAGGAAGCTGGTGTGCCAGGTAACTGGTCATTTTTTTTACCCTCCCACCCACTTCGCAGCTGTCCTTTTGAAACTTGTGAATGCTTCGTCTCTAATGGAAAGCAATTTTTAAAAATATCATTTTAAAATTATTTATTCTGGATTTAAACACCAAATAAAATGTATTTCCCATATACGTAGCAAAAGAGGGTTGTACATAAAACTGTACATTGCTTTTTTTTTTAATAGAAATACGTCATAAATTCTTCAAATGATTTTCAAAGCTGTCCGGCTTGCCTGTGGTTCTTTCTGACTTATTTTCTTCGGTGCTTCAATGATCTTTTTTTTCTCTTTTGGTTTTTTTTTTTTTTGCTACTCCCTCTCACCAAACTGAAAAAGGAAAAAAAATGTATTTGCAATAAATATGCATAGTCAAACAAAAATTCCATCAGTGACTTTGTCTGGGGGAAAAAAAAGGCTTTTTCTTCCCCTTGAGTCCATCATCTCTCTGTCTGGAAGGGGTCGAATGCTTCATTATCCAGCCTTGAGAATCATGATTGATCATTGCCTTGATCAGAATTCTTACCCTGCCTTGATCGGTTAAAGAAAGATTCCTCCCGCCCCCACCCCCCCTCCGGGAGGAGGCGATGGGTTTTGCTTAGAGTTGAGTGGGCGGGGTTGGAGGAGGAAGCAAATTGGGTTGTTTTGAATGGTTTCCCTAGATGAGCTGTGGTTAAGGAAGACGTGAAGAGAAGGAGGGGCACTGAAGGGCCTTGAAATGAGGAGATTGATTAATGCACTATTAATTGAGCTTCTACATGCTTTCATTTTATTTCTTCCTTAAGTATAACTGACAATAATGAGTGACATTGCAACAGATACGTGAAGGGAAAGTAGGGAAGGATCAAAAGCAATTAAAAACCGGACAAAGTGCTCACAAGCTATTTCTCTGTTCAGACCAAGCACACTCCCACTTCCCCCTGGATTCAGCTAAGCCTCCAGCCTAATCCTCCCCACCACCAAGGGCTGAAAGATTGACGCAAAGCAAAGCAGAAGCTTTGCTGTTTATGAACTGAACTGCCTGTTTCATTGCTTAGTGTCTGCCTAGTCACGGTTCCTTTTATCCTAGTTTAACTTTTTTCAAGGCTCTTTCCCCAAAAGCCTTGCTAACTAATTTTAATATCCACAGTAGGCATGCTGTCATATTTTAATGTAAAAGTATAGTAGAGAATGATTTACCAGTTGCCAGGCACTGTTAAAATCTGTTTCTTTTTACTTAAAGAAAGCATCCATTACACATTAGGCTAGCTATTTTTAAGTTAGTGCCCTGTCATTTGAGAGGAATATGAACAAACTCTTGACCATACTGTAATACAAAATCCATTCTGTCTTTCAGAAAAGCACTAAATTCAAGAATGTTTGGACAACTCATTCTAAATCGCCTATTGCCTATGAGAGAGGAAGAATATATTTTGACAATTACCGGTGCTGTGTCAGCAGGTGATTCTTTGGTGAAAACTCACACTCATTACACCTCACTACATCCTGATTCTAAACTGCCCCAGAATTTCTGCAGAACGGAAGTGCCACCTTGTGCTTGGTGAAATAGCAATATGAGACAAGTGGGGAAAAGGGGAGGGTTGATGAGTTCCAGATAAAGTCTGGTGGCCTAATATGTAATTTTTAAATATTTGAGTCTCAAATTATCTGTTGTTCAGCTCTCCAAATTATAAATTAAAGCAGTAAGTTCCCTTACCGTGTAGGTGAGAGGTTGCATCAACTACTAGATAGAAAACTGGGCTCAGAGTCAGGATGGCCTGGATTCCAGTTCTGCTTTAGACACATTCAGGGCTGTATGACCTAGAGAAAGTCACAACCTCTCAGTGCCTCCTGTCAAGACTCTTTAAGATTTTATATTGTAGAACAGTTTCTAGTCAGCACTGATAAGTATTTCCTCTACCAGTGAAATATCACAGATCTTGAATAAATAAATGAAATGACATATTTTAGAATGCTAATAGTGTTTCACATCACATAAATGTAAAAGATAATAGGTTAACAATAACCAGTTACCAAGATGATTAGGGTTAGTTTTGAGATCATTTCATTCATTTTTGTGAATGAATGGTATTGTTTGGGGCTCTCTTGTTAGAAGGTTGTGATAAACACCAAAAATTTTCATTAAATACAGCCTTATTTGCAATCCTGTGCTACTCTGCTCAGTCTTAACATTGATGGACTGGCAAAAATGAATAAAGTAGTCACATGGTTCTCCAATGAGCCCACGTCCCAGAGAAGGTACTCCTGAAGAATAACAGGAGCTCATATTTACATTGCACTCAAAGCTCTTTCCATGTCTCATCTGATGCTCACAACAACTTTGTAAGGAAGTCGCCTCTTCCCCCTCCACCCCCCGTTTTACAGTGGAAGGGCTCCGGAGGCTCAGAGAGAATGATTGACTCCCTGAACATCACGGTATTCATATATTTCACCCTGTTTAAATGGTACTTATTTTTAAACTGGAATTATTCAGGGAAGAAAGGTTGCTGCAGATTTCTTAGGAGAAAAAGAAATCTTTTCATTCTAGGTGGCATGAGGTCAAGGTGGCACTTCATAAAAATGAAGAACAGTAAAGAAGCAATTCATACCAGTCAGAATGGATAAAACAGACTATAAACAGTATGAAATTTCTTAAGAAGAGTGATTATTTGTTATCATTTTTCCTCAGTGTTGCAGCAGAGCCAAGAAAGCGTTATGAGATGCCGAAGTGTTCTAAATCAGAAAAAATAGAGGACGCTTTATTGTGGGAATGCCCCGTGGTAAGAATTTTTTTTCCCCAGAATCCTCTAGTAAATGTAAAAAAAACCTCAATTGTTTTATTCTAGAAAGACTGTTTACTGTTGATTTGGGGCAAAAAGACACTTGTCACAGTGTTAAAGCTAGGAGAGAAATTTGAGGTAATATGTGATTGAAGAAACTCAGTAGGGGATTATCTTCTGAAAATTCAAGGAACTCAAAAAGTGATTATTTCTTTTGATTGCCATGTATATCACAAAACAACAAATATTAAGAAATTCCATAGTTTAATAAATTTTTAATTTTTAATCAGTATTTGCAATAAAATTCGTTTTCATATTTAAAGCTTTGAAGACTAGTGAGAGCATAGATTAAAATTTCAAAGGTTAAAATTTTAACAATGTGAAGCTGTATCACTAGCTTCATTACCCTAAATTTAACAAAAATTATCATTGTATTTACTGTCCTGACAGCATGATAATACAGTGTTTGTTTATTGGAAAAATCATATTACATGGCTATTTGAACTGTTATACTTTCAAATGAACATATAATATGAATCTGCCCTTCATCAAGAAAAAAGGTGGAGTAAAGTAACTCTTTTGTAGTTGACAACTCATACCTCAGGAAACTTTCTTCTGTTACTCTATTAATGTATTCCTTAGGAAAACAATTCATTTTTACAATAGTATTTACAATTTTTTTTAAACATATGTTGGCTTAAAACATCATGGATGTAGAACCATAAAGTGTTAGTACTGGAAGAAGGGGCCTTTGAGATCATCTAGTCTAGCCTCCCTCTCATTTAAAAGCCTAGAAAATGGGTACATAAAGGGTGATATAAGCAAATTAGAGGAGCATGGAAAATTTTACTTGCTGGGTCTATGGAAAAGGGAAGAATTTATGACAAAACGAGATAGAAAGGATCATGGGAAATAAAATGGATAATTTTGCACAAACAAAACCAATGCAGTCAACATTAGAAGGAAAGCAGGAAACTGGGGGGAAATTTTATAGCAAGTTTCTCTGATAAAGGCCTCATTTCTCAAATATATAAGGGAACTGAGGCAAATTTATAAAAATACACGTCATTCCCCAATTGATAAATGATCAAGGATAAGAACAGGC